TTGAGAAACAAATAAAGTGTTCTGAGCAAGACAGTGGTATTATTAGATTTTTATTGTAGAAAATAGAATTGGACAGAAAGGCAAGGAATGGATTGAGTAAGAGCAACACTGGAAATGAGGGAAAGCTAGTGCAAAGACTCTTCCACTGATCTGTATGGTTTAAGGCAGTGTGAGTGTGTCTGAACTGCTGGTAGCAGTGGGCTTGGAAAAGGGTGGGGAGGACTGACTGGAGGAATATTTATGAACTTAATGAATTATGAGATGTGGGGAGTAAGGAGGAGCTGAGGAAGATGCTCAATTTCTGGGTAGAACGTGGTTCTATTCCCACAGCAAGGGACTGCAAGAAGGTTTGGTTGGATGAGGAGGTAGAAGATAAGATCACGAGTTCCATATTGGACATAACCTTGAGGTCACAGAGGTGGTGACAGAACAAGGCCTTATGAATCGCAGGCTGGCACTCTTGGCTTCATAGAACTGCACAAGAAGCAGAAAACTCACTTGTGAACTAGCACAGTTATGGAAGCTTTTCTGGAAGAGGCAGAACCTGGGCTATAGCCACCCCTCCCCTTGCTAACCCGGCATGGAAAGTCCAAACTCACATAGACCTAGAGCAAGAGATAGGAGCACTTACATTTTCTTAGCCCTGTTGTACTTACTGTCCAGTATTTTAAAGGGTTATTTAAAGTGGAGAATATAGAGGTGGCAGAGAAGGGAAGAGGGAGGAAGGGGCGGATTGGAGTTATATTTATAGAGGTAAAATCAAAAAATCTTAGTGACTAATGCTATTTTGACAATTCTGTACACCTACGTTTCAGTTTCTGGTTTTGCTTTGGAAATACAGGGTCTAGAACTGTGGCTAGAAAATGTCTCTGAAGCCCCCTATTGCTGTATGTAAAGAGGAAATTACAGGTCTAGCACCAATGTGGTTCTGCCCTACTCTCTCCCCACATCTCCTGATCATTTTCACTTTACTAAGTTGTAAAAAAAATATTGGTAGATGGCTGCTCTGTGCTGACCAAAATCTCCTCATGGGACTTACACCAAAAGAACATAACAGGTGTTAGCTTCTAGAGCAGTGACTGGACAGAGTAGAACTCCATTGTACATGACCTCCCTCACTCCCTGCAAGCCGCTCTAGCCAACTTTGTCATCATCCTTGCCTCTGGGACTTGGCATGTTTGGAGGTTGACATCTACTGAGGCAATGGAAATAATACTTGTCCAGGACCATTTCACCCACATGTCCCAGATGGCTAGGGCCAAGTCAGAAGTGAGGATTCTGATCAGGACCCAAAGCGGATAGGTTCGGAGAAGGCCATTATCATAGCCAGAGGTCCCCAGAAGCTAAAGTGACTCTAAAAGCCAAGTCCAGGTCCCACCTCCTTTCCCTAGAGTCTCAAATAAATATGGGCTTTAGAGGTTCCCTTGGGGACAAGATGAACAGAGCACACACAAACTGAGCAGTGTCTTCATTGTACATAAGTTCACTGATGTGGGCTGGGGCTTGTACATTCACAGTCAACTGCATTCATTGACTGGTAAATGAAATAATTCTTTAGATGAAGGTTCTGGGGAAGACTGGGGCATCAGGAAAGGAACATGTGGATAATGATATATGAAATATCAGGAAATGAAAATATGCATCTTTTAGTATAGTTATGATTTTTTATTTCATATTAAGATATTTAAAATGAATATAGAACCTTAGCCTAAATGTTAATTCACCAGACTTTCTTCCCCTTTTCTTCTTTTTCTCTCTTGCTCTTTTTTTTTTCTGCTTCTTTTAATGGATAAAGAGTGGAGAGGTAGAGAAAATGAAATTGATCTGTAGAGAAAAGGGGAAATATGAAAGGAATGGTTACACTCTGCTTTTTCTGCTTTTAAATGAATCCCAGTCCAGTCACTGCTAAGGAAATGAGAATAGGAGAGAGAACCTGGAACAAGTGCCTTTGCTTCTGATGGTACAAAAACATCTGGGTTTTAATGGTATGATATGTAATAATTATTGGCACCTTCATTGCTGTTAAATGTCTGTTAAGCATTAGTGAAACAGAGGAGGCTCATTTAAAATGGCATTTATACAGGAGACCTTGGGGATGATCGTATGTATTGAATCACTGGTGGGGTTTATCAACAAGTGTGTATTTTTGACAGGATAATAGAAAAAGGAAACAAACGAGAATTTACGTTTGTGATCTTTCAATAGGGTGGGAGAGAAAGAAGTCCATGGCAGTTTTGGGGAAATCTTTCTAACTACAAAGACCAGGGCCCTAAGATCTGGTTGCTGTCCTCCCGGGAGAACTTCCATTGTCCTGTTGATTGTTTGGACAAACATTTACAGCCAAGTTTGTTGCTAAATGTCTGAATTCTGCTGAGGAGACTTTCTTCCTCTCCGTGAACAGGAGTAGTTTGGATACATTTTTCTTTATCTTGTAAGCTTCTTTCAGTGAGTCATTTCTGTCAAATCTAGGGTTATTTCCCAAATTTTATTAACATTTAGAAACTATTTGTTTAGTTGTTATAGCATATT